GAAAAAGCCACAGACCGTACGACTAATTATTACAAGCGCGGCAGAGCCGAAGTGACCTTCAAAGAAGGCGACTTAGTGCTTTTAAGTACGAAAAATCTGCGGCAGTTAGCCGTCGGACCTCGTAAATTATTGCCGCGGTGGGTGGGTCCTTACCCTGTGAAGCGCATGGTTGGGAAAGCAGCGGCTGAGCTTGTCCTACCGTCTGATATGCGCATCCACCCCACCTTCCACGTAACGTTGTTGCGGCCTTACAAGGCGTCAGCGGATGCGTTGGATTCTTCAACTGTTCGCGACAGTTCTTCTGCATTTTCTAGTCCTGCAGGACCGCTGCCGGTTCAGTGGCTGAAGAGCGATCCACTTTACTCGGTCGAGCGCATACTTGATTATCGTGCCCGCCGCCTAGGAAGACGCCGTAAGGGGCTGGTGCACGAGTACCTCGTCAAATGGACCGGGTATTCCAATGAACATAATAGCTGGGAGCCAGAGAAAAACTTTACGCCCGACCTTCGCCCCGAACTTCAAGCAGTTAAGGCTTGTGCCACTAACGCTGCGAGGACGCTGCGTCCAGAGGGGGGATAGTTGTTGTGGCATACTTGCATATTTACCCGCGGACTTTTCCCTAATTCTCTGGCACTTTGCCGCTGGGCAATATCTTCGCTCTTACTTGGTTAACCATTGGGCACTGGCCTATCTCTAATTGGGTGCTGGCCCATCTCTAATCGGGCACTTGCCTGTCTTTATCACGCGTGATACTGGGTTATAGCGCTCTTGCTATAATCGTGACACTTGTCACTGGTAGACCCACTTGGGTTACGATTGCACCGATTGGTGATAATTCGCGTTGACGACTATATTCTCGGATCGTACAGACTTCTGTACGAGTCATCCTAACGCAGAGGCATTTAGCCTCCCTCCGTTCACTAATCGGTAGTTTTCACTACCACCTAAACAGTGGAAGTGGATACAACAGTATGAGGGCTCACCGAAACTCAATTACCCCCTTTGCACGCTAGTCGGGGCTGATGTGCAGTGTTTTCCTTTCCTCCGTGGCTTTTAGGCGTTGTAGTATTGCCCTTGGGCCTTCGGCGTGTATGGGTAGTCTTACAGGTATGGGTTCACGCACCCCCAACCATGTAACACACACACACACACATGTTTACCCTGGACCTGAAATCCTGCTACCACCACTACATGGACGTACGAGAAGCAGACTGGCGCTACCTTGGTTTTGAATGGCAAGGCCAGTTCTACGTCTTGACCCAACTCCCTTTCGGCCTTGCCTCCGCCTGTTGGGTATTCACCAAGCTCATACGCGAACTCATGAGCACTTGGAGGTGGAAGGGCTGGTGGTGCTCAGGATACATCAATGATCAGATCCTTACCCACCAGGATGCCCAGACCCTCATCGCCCGCCCCACAATGATTCCTCGACCTCCTCGATCACCTGGGGTTCTGCGTGAACTGCGACAAGTCAATGCTGGGTGAGCCCTAGTAGCGCGTGAGGTATCAGTGTATGCTGTTAGATATGGCTAAGGGTGTTTACATTGTGCCCGACGACAAGCGCACTTCCCTGCTTAACTGCATCCGCTCGGCTTTGGAAAAAAGGTGCATCAAGGCCGGCATCAAAACTGGCCTCCATGAAAGGGCAGCTTCTGTCCATGTCCTGGGCTTTCAGGCCAGCAGCCCGCCTTTACACCCGAGCTCTGGGGCAGGACACTGAGTCGCGCCACACCTGAAATAGGATACTGACATCCGCCTGTCTAGCGACACAATTGCAGGGTTCGAGTTCTGGCTGCACTGATTTGAACGGCACCCATGCCCTGTGGGAGCTTGCACAGGTGCACTCGGTTGTTTTCAGCAATGCAGCCGGGAAATCCCCTCAATTGGAAGATGGCCCACGCCCGCGGTAATTTGGGAGAAAGGGTGAGTTCGATGGTGTCAACACCCCAGGAGCTCCAGGGAGTCCTACACGCACTTCAATCCTTCAACGGCCCTGCGGCAATCTCAATGGAGCCAACGTCCTCAACATAGGGCCCGCAAAAGCTGAGGACTCGTACCTGATTGCCTGCGAGATCGTTTGGTACTGTATTGCCGAGGGTACCCCACTGCAGGCGGAGTGGCGGCCGCTAGAAGAGAACACCCTGGCGGACTACCCTTCGAAGCTGCAGGACCCGGATGACTGGATGGTGAATCATAAGAAATTTCAAAGGCCCGGGCCCCTTTTGACATTGATCTTTTCGCGTCACACACTAATCACCAGCTGCCACAATATTATTCTCGCTTCCTCACGCCAGATACCGCCATGATGGTAGCGGCCATGTCGGTCATGTTCACGGTTTCCTGAGGTTCAATAACCTAGCCCACATTTCCCTCCAGCACGATCTGCTCACCCTGCACGACACTCACATGGTGGTTACACTGCCCAGGTCCAAAACGGCTTGCCTAGTGGACTTGACAGGGAGAGAGGCTGCTGTCGCTTGGTAACTACACCTGTGCCCCCAGCTCCCCCGTGGAGGATGTGGGTCCGCTGCTGCAAGGCCACCAGCTGCAGCAGAGGACCGGCTCTGTTCAGTCACCTATCAGCGGCCTCAGCTACACCTCATTCCAGGAGAAGCTCGCGGCCATGTGCAGCACCGTGGGCATCAAGCGTGGAATCATGCCACATTCTGTTCGCATCGGGGGAAACAGCGCAGCAGCGGCCAGAGGGGTACCTGAAGAGCCCTGCAAGGCCGCCGGAAGATGGATGCAATGGTGCACCTTATACACCCGGCTTGAAGACGATGCACACTGGAAACCACGCGCAACCTGGGTCTCGCCTGAGCTATGGGCCGCCGCCAGGGGGGGCCTCCTGCTATCTTTTCTCTCTGCAGTAGTGTGAGGCCCTTGGCAGCCCCGGCTCCGCCTCACCCTGTCCCATCCGGCACATCAATCACAACCGTACAGCAAGCCGTGAAGGCTAGAGGACAAAACCAGCATAAGCCTACCAACCTCCAATTAAGCTAGTCTGGCCAAAATGCCACACGTACTGAAAAAAGAGTGGAAGAGGTTTAGTGGCAAATGGCAAAATTATGCTATTATGGTTATTGGAGTCAGCGGATCCCTTCCGGCAATCTCCTGCAGCAGCCGCGTGCCTGTCTGAGCCACAACATGTAAAGCAAGGAGTTCCCGTGCGGGTTGTTGGCCGGTACATGCCCGGTGGGTTCTGATGCTCTTAGCGGCCATTGGGGCACTACCTGCATCATGTCAGATCAGTGGTGTCGCATTGGCATTATAGCTCCACTACGTAGCTGCCTAAGGGTCGAGTTCCGCGTGCCCATGTAGAGCCCCCTGTAGTGACCTATCACACTCCTCATTGACAGGCATGCTGTACTTCATTTTTTTCTGCCGACATTTACTTTCGCTAACAGATCGCTCACTGAGACCCATCCGTTAGACCACTCCGGATGCACACAGATGCAATCCGAATCATCTCGGAAAGTCAAGGATGCCTGTAATGCCAAGCCATTACATTACATTTAGCCACACACATGCTGCTCATGTAACTTCATGCTCGCGCGTACCTTGGCCGAAAGCTGAAACGGCGTGTGAAATGGGCCCGAGTGTGTGGCTGGATCTCTAGGACACATAGACAGCACTGGATCCTGCTTTGCCTCGGCCATGGCCCATCCCGTCCCACCGCTGCTACACTTCTACTGATGGGCTGCTTGGTGTTCTGAACACTCAACACACTGCTTCACCGCGCACCATCAGTCCTCTGGCTGTGTGGCACACGTCCCTCCTGCCAACATGCAAGCTCGGCTCACTACACCCTGCACCGCCTGCAAGTGCTCAACACTGCATTACCTACCGTCGTACGGCTCCTATTAGTGCCCACCAGGCCCAGCCGCTTACATGGTCGTTCCTAAATTGGCACCTCCAGAAAGGAGTCGGATGGCTAGGGTACTCACACCCGCCGGTGCTCAAAAGCAACTGAGGAATTTACCTGCAAATACGGGGTACTACCTTCACCAGGTTCCCGATATCGCTAGCCACAAAGCTGCACGGCCCAGTTCAGTCTAGCTATCCCAAGCCTAACGGTCCAACAGTGATAACGGCATTACTGTATGACATTTCAGCTTCGTGCAATCCGCCGCAAGTAAAGAAGCTAGCGGCGTAATGGCCAGCGGCTAGAATTCATTGTAAAAAGAGAAGCAACTAGCATTCCAATTTGGCAGCGAATACGCAAGTCATGCATTGCGGTGCACACACAGGAAGTGTGAAATGCAAGCTAAGCGACGGGCTTAGGAAGCGTGTCCTTAAGAGACAAATAGAGATCGCAATATTTGACACGCTTCTGGTTACCCGGTATCGGAAAAAATGTCGATACTCAATATCCGTCTGTTCCCGGAAAATGACTCGGATCCTTATGCAGCTCTCTAAGCTATCTATTTAGCATTATATATAAATCTTTATTCCGTCCATCAAAGATCGTTATGTAATTACTGCAGGCACTTTTTACAATTTATGCTTGCGTGTGTAACAACGTGGGACACAGCCAGGTCAAAAATTTTCTGTGACAAAGTCTACGTATAAAATTGTTTAAAATTGGGGTATGCAACTAAGTCAGGAGCGAACCGTTAGGTTCTGACGTGGACATACGCACCGTACATCGCGCAATGTATTGAGATCCCTTCGACGTACCCTATATGCACATATGGATTTTCCCAGGTGAAAACCTAGGCCAAGATAGAGAAGGCAAGCCACATCACTCAACATTATCAGTTATCTTCACCATGTTGCTTAGCGGAAAGCTTCAAGGCCGCACTTTGGCCAAGCAGCGGACCGCTTCCGTAGCACAAGCTCCTAAATCCGTCGTTCGTGGAGCCTATGGCCGGGGCAAACTCGTTGTGCGCCAAGCAATTGAGGTCCCACCGTCACGAGCGACGGCTGCAAATGAGCTCGAAAGCCTCTCGCGGTTGAGTTCCATCGTTCCCGATACTCTCGCTTTCGAGACTCTAGTACCGGGAGCGAAGCTGGCCGCGGCTTCAGTCTCAGCGTCGACGCTCCGATCTGTACTTGTGGGGGAGTCCCTGGGCCACAAGCCTTATGAGGTATGAGTACTGAAGTCATTACGAAATCATTTTTTACTGAAAATGTTTCCGGGATGGAGATTGCGTGCAACTGCTGGCGTTTTTTTGCGTAACGGCATTTCCCCCTTTCGAAACATGCATTCGTGCCGAGCGTTACACGTTTGC